GTAGATGAGTGATTTTTTTTTTTTTTTAAGACGATGCACGAACAGTTTTTATCAGGTTTACAGAATAATGTGACTAAGGACACACAGATTTTTGATGTAAGATAAGTGTCTTGTCTGTGGCAAAAGGACGAAATGAAAGGACATTTGGTGCAGGAATGAAAGAACCTGAATTATAGTAAGACTGCTGTATATGCAGTTTTTAAAAATCTGCAATTTTTGAAGCTTCAGCATAACGGAGTCTGTAGATAGCCTCTAGTTGTAAAGTGCTACCTCCAGCCTTTCGTGGTAGTATTTCATGTCTGTAAACATGCGTGTGACGCATTTTGATGACTGGAATCCAGTTCCTACTGGAATAGGAAAAGAATCTTTCACTGTAGTTTTCCTGGCTGTGCCACTTTTTCACTGTGAAAAAAGAGATGTCTTGTGATCCAAAAAAAACCCCAAACAAAACCTTCTTTCCTGACATAACCTCTCAATTAGAAATCTAGCACTTGACTACAGAATGTCCTGAAAAGCAAAATATGGCTATTTAAAACCATGTAAATTATGAAGCGTCTTTTCTGTGAAGATACTACATTCGTATTTTTTTTTTCTAAAGTACAAAGAAATTTAGTACAATTATAGAGTACAGTTACAGAGCTTCAGCAAGGTTCTGATTTAGTTTTCATCTTAATCGAGGGGAGACTTTACACCACCTTAACTTGGTTCAAGCCCTGGATCTTGTGAAGACCATTCCCTTGCCGTAGTACATTCACGCTTACAGTTTTATTGGGACACGCTAGAGCTTTGGTTCAAGATAAATTGTGATGGAAAAGAGGCTGTGGCTGCTGTGCTTTGTAGTTTGCAACTGTAAAAATGGAATGAGAATAATTTTGTATCTTGCAGATTTTTCTCTGACTTCACTTTCTCCCACAGTCTTTACCCACCAAATTCAAGTGAGGTACATTGATGTTATGCCAAGAAATATTTGTACTTTTTAACTTTTTCTTGCTTTCTTTAGATCTTAACATATTTTTCCTTCATTTTTGCTGTTAGAATTTTACATGCTGTTTTTAGCGAATTGAAGTAAATTAAATTGAGAGAAATGATACCTTGAGCTTGCTGAAGCTAGTGCTTCATTCAGAAGCAAGTACAGGAACAATTCTCTGTCAAGCTGTCTCTTAGCTATCTGGCAATATCTCTTTTCAAGTAATAAAATGTGTTTATCCCTTGAACAGCATGTTTATACTTGAGTTTTAAAATCTACTCTGTATCAAAAATTTTTTCATTTGCGTAACATGGCTGCTGTCTAGCAAGCTGCCTGTCACTGGTGAATTCCCTGTTTGAATTTTACATGCTAATTAGGGGTAATGTTGAAGAGAGGTATTATTGCTTGCTTATAATGTAGAGAAAATCCCTGCTCTACGCACAAACGTTGCTTTTATGAACCTGAACCAAGCCAGGCTGCCGAATGTGAAGTTAAAGAGAGAATAATTTCCCCCTGTACTCGGCGCTCGTGAGCCTGCACCTGGAATACTGTGTCCAGTTTTGGGCCCCTCACTACAAGAAGGACATTGAGGTGCTGGAGCGTGTCCAGAGAAGGGCAGCGGAGCTGGTGAAGGGTCTGGAGCACAGGGCTGGTGGGGAGCGGCTGAGGGAGCTGGGGGTGTTCAGCCTGGAGAAGAGGAGGCTGAGGGGAGACCTGATCGCTCTCTACAACTACCTGAAAGGAGGGGGTAGTGAGGTGGGGATTGGTCTCTTCTCCCAAGTAGCTAGTGATAGGACGAGAGGAAATGGGCTCAAGCTGCGCCAGGGGAGGTTTAGATTGGATATTAGGAAAAATTTCTTCAAGGAAGGGGTAGTCAAGCATTGGAACAGGCTGCCCAGAGAGGTGGTGGAGTCCCCATCCCTGGAAGTGTTCAAAAAATGGGTAGATGTGGCACTTGGGGACATGGTTTAGTCTAGTCTACCCTTGATTGGTTTAGTGTGGACTTGGTAATGTAGGTTACTGGTTGGACTGGATGATCTTAAAGGTCTTTTCCAACCTCAACGATTCTATGATTCTATGATTCTAATATTTGTACAGCTCTGCAGTTACTCTATAGAGCTGTTTGCCAGGGAGAATCACGGGTTACACTTTAGAAGGAGGCTGGGGGCCAGGTTCTGATACGTTATCCATGCTGAGAAGCGGTTTATTTCAGGAGTAGTTCCTGGAATAAGGGTCTTCTTACTAATGGTTAAAATAGTAATTTTCCGATGGATAATTGCCTCTGTTGGCGATGAGGTGGCAGTGCACCAATTTGCTTCTGTCTCTGTCCTCCCTGATCTTTGCAGATATTATGGCATGCAGAAGTCTTATGAGATATCTAAGAAGAAACACTCTTTTAGTTTTTCAAGCGCAGTCTGAAAGCAGAAGTGGGGTTGAGTTGAACCAGTATTACTGTTGCACAGTAATGCATTTTGCTCCCAAGAATCCAGCAGCGTTTGATGTAACACAACTGAGAAGTGCCCAAAGCAAAGCATTTCCTTACTGTTACTTATTGTAATGAGAAAATAATTACATGATTATCGCTAGTAAGTATGGTGATATTATATGCGGGTTAATTATTTAAAGGACAAAAATGATTATGCTGCACACGCCATGCTCATGGCTGCCTCCTGAGGATTATTTTAAAACACAAGTATACACATATTGATTATAACTGCTAGGTGCTATACAAACATGGAATAGAATTTCTGCCATGAAATAGATACACTTGAAATGAAAAGAAAACGTAATTACTGTATTTAGCCTTTATGTTGGATAGAAAGTTTTTAATGAAACAAGAAACAATTTGACAAGAAAAAAAGACAGAACCTGAAAAGCATTTAAAAAAAAAAGGGGGGGGAGAAACCTGGATTCAGGGCATTAACATGGTAAATGATATGTTCAGTTGTTTGTTTTAAACTTTGCTTGGTAATGTAAACCAGTTCCTCTGATGCAGTATTATACTCCAAATACAGTAGTTTCTTTAAAGTCTTGCTTGTACTCTGCTAGCCAGTAGACTTCACAACCTAAACTAAATCAGTCTGTCTCTCTTCAGACTAACTATTACTTGCTTAGGACCAAAAGATAAATCGGAGATTGCTTTGCTGTGTTTGAAACCATTTGTTTAAACCTGGGTCCTTCCGCAAGGATTTCCAGAGCTGTGCACAGAAAGGGATTCATGAGTGATGGCTGGAAGCAGAAGGACCAATGCAACGGGAGAGTCGGGTCTAAAGAAAGGCCTTAAAATGAAGTTACCAGGAGGACCGTAGAGGGGAGAAAAGAGTGTGATAATTTAACTTTCCACAATCCCATCTAGTTTTATTTAGGAGTGTTGCAGTGAGTTCTTTTTTTCTAAGGCAGTGCGCTGTGCCCGTGCCTGTAGCAGTCTTCCTAGTACTGTGTTTCAATGAGACTTCTTCCAGTGTTGCGGGAAGATAAATGGTAAATCCACCCCGAGCCCTACATGAGATGCGCTAATGGCAGAAGGAGGCATCATGTAAATAATCGATGCTGAATGAAAAGTGCAGAAAATATGTGTAATTATTTTATTTTTAGGTGAAATGGATGTAATGGTCATGACTCATGATTTAAGCCTGCTCTGAGTCTACCATTTAAAGCAGATTTGGAAACTCTTAAATACATAATAGTCAAGATTTTCTGTCTGTAGTTTCTTGCTTGTGTCTAAAGTGTTCATTTTGGAGGATTTCCATATTAGTTTGCTTTTGTTGCTAGTAAATAAAATTGTCCATTCAATTTCCCGCGGCGAGTGCAGAAATAAGGTCTTATGCTTGTTACATGAAGAAATATTACTCACATTAACTGTACTCCATACACCTCCCTAAGAACATTTCAGCACTTTAGTCTTCTTTTGCATTATTCTCCATCCCTGAGATCTGTGGAGTGGTACAAACCAGAAGATAATCTTTGTTGGTCATCAGCTCAGAAATTTCCCTGAATTTTCAATCATTTCTCATGACTGACAGTACCCCTACATCCAGAGGAGTCTTTAAATAAGATTTTTTAAATTTTTTTTTTTTTTTTGGCCTGCACCCTGTGTATGCAGAAGCTTCTATGAGAAAGGTGAGCTTATCCCTTTTATCTACATCAGGAAAGCCACAGTGCCATTAGGGAACAGTATCTGTCATAATGTAAAGCTGCCAAATGGAATCAGAAAAGGCAATTGCTGAATATTCAGGGCAAAAATAGGAGAAGCAGAAAAAGGGAGGAGACAGCAATGGCATAACCAAATCACTTTCCTCATATCCAGTGGAGATGTTTCTCTTTTTAAGTGCATTTAGATAAGAATTTGGAATAGATGGTTACACATCTGTGTTTGACAACCAGGAAATAAATGAAAAAGAAAATTATTATTTTAGAACTATATTTATTAAAACTCTTTAAATTCTATACATATGCGTAAGATCCTCCAGTTCCTTTTTTTTCTAGTCTTTTTTGGAGTCTTAGTGGTAGCTGGATACTTGTAGTTCTTGGTACTTCTTCCCTGGTTACCCCACATACATTGCATTGTAGCCCCTGTTTTCATCGTTCAGGTGAGTAGCGAGGCAGGAGCAACTAAAGGGAAATGATATCTTAAATGTGTCTCTGCGAGCCTCCTCCTGTAGCATTCTCCACACATCAGGATAGCTCCCAAAGCTTTGCGGGTGGTGTGTTCAATGTTCACTGCTGGTTTTGACTGGCACCACATGAAAAGCCACAGCTCGTCTAGCAGTCTCCTGAGACATCCACGATCTGAGTAAACGGGGACCTGGGGGACTGGCAATGCTGCTTACAAATAGATTGAGATATCATTTCTCAACGTTGTTTCAGAAATGTATTGCGTGGAGTAGTTGCAGAATAGAAGTAATAAACAGTTACTCCGCTTTGTGAAATGAAAATACATTTGTATGATGTTTGTCAGTAATGTCACATGCATATTTTCCTACTTAATAAGTGATGGCAATATATTAATTGTAACTATTTTACAATCCTTTAGGTGGCTATAATAGCTGGAAATTTTGAGCTCGCTGAATATATCAAGAATCACAGGGAAGCTGATATCGGTAAGCAAAATATTTACAGACACTGAAAATAAGTTATACATGTTTAAATCAAGATTTTGCAGAGATGTTAAATCTGATTCTATGTGAGATATGACTACAGGGCTGATGACAGTATCGTTCCAGGGAGATTTTAAAAGTAACTTTTCTTTAAAAAATGAAGATGGGGAAAAAGCTGAAATGTATTCAAAATATGCTCTGAAAATGAAAACTTGATAAGTAATGCAAAAGAGTGGTAGGTGCTTTATTAGTGTACATGAGCCAGTTTTCAACAGATTAAATACACATCTGGCCAAATTGGCTCTTGCAGGCTGTTTCAGCATCAGCCTAAAGCAGTTCTCAAGTAGGAATAATTGGTCAAAAGAAGATAAAGAAAGATGCTTCTCCACAATTAAATGAATATATGGCAGAAACTGTCTATCCCTATCCATAAAACCATTTCCTCTCACCGAGTTTGGTGTGTGGCACTGGATGAAGGCTAGCGACAAGTGTTAAGGGCCTTTGACAAAAAACCTTAAGGCTTTTTAAAGATCTTTTTTACATAGAGTTTTGCTGTTACAATAAAGACCAGTTTGATAAAAGTGATTTCTAATGCAGTTTAATTAAAATGAATTAAAATGCTTTAATTCAAGTTAATTAAAGTTCCACAGGAACATCCTGAAGTTGAACGAAAAAAGACATTCCTTTTGAAGCAGGAGGGTCTGGATAGTTGCCTGCACTGATTTAACTTGGTGATGCAAATCTATGACTTGATAGAATTTAATTTATGTGGAAAACTAGGCCAGCTCACATGAAACTTAGGACTGTGAAAGAATTGGTCTGGATTAAGGCCTCATTTCCATTTTCCTTCCCGGTTGCCTATGATCTGCAGGGATATAGTTAAAAATTCTGTGCGGTAATGTGAATTCTCGTAGCGTTACAATACTTTGAACTCTTTGCAGTATGCATTGAGAAAACTGAGGACACATTGCATAAAAGTTTTGTGTAAAAGTCGTAACTTCTGCATAAATGTCTGTGGTGAGTTTGGAAGGTTTTTACATGAGGAAGTGGGATAGTTCCTTTCCATGTAAGAAGTCTTCATCCTTCTGTATTTACAAACAACCTGATGTAAAAAATTAACCAGTTATTCCTAATAGGGTGATCATCTTATTGTTGTTTATATTTACATATGGCTAATGGTTTTATAACTTCGTGAAGATGTTGAAATGAAAGGAAATGGTTGTTTAGATTCGAGTGTTCCCTTTATTTCTGCCATGTTAGTTCTTAATATTTTGGCTTGCGTGGAGTCAGTGCAGAACAAATACTACACAGTATTATGTTTTATGTTTCTCTAAATGGATCTTATTCTCTTAAAAATAGTTGTGTACAATAAAAGAAAAAAACTAGTAAAGGAATGATTTGCCAGTATTAATTGTGCATACACTTACAGTATGAGTAACTGTAAAGTAAAAGTAACACTTACAGTACACTTACAAACAGTAGCCTCTAAACTGGTTTGTGTGAAACCACATTGATGTTAATGTCATCATTTTTTGGACTGACCAGTTCTGCACTACTTTTCATTTCCCCCGACGAGTGCAGGTTCCAAGTTATGTCGGTATGTGGGAGGAATTGGAATGTAGTTATGAAGTAGATGGATGAGACTCAGCCCAGGAAACAAGTGATAGCCACGTGGCTGAGGCTTTAGGCAGAACTGATTATTGCTGATGGTAAAAACTTTCTGTAGGATTAGGTGATTTCTAGAAAAATGCTTAGAAAATATGTTCTATGGGAAGATTCTCCAGCTTTTCCTGATGCCTTCACTTTTCCACTGAAAAATAGAAATATTGGTGCTTCCATGACTCACTTGCATTTTTTACAAGATGGTGGTGGATTGCACATACTGCTCTCTACAACTACCTGACAGGAGGGGGTAGTGAGGTGGGTGTTGGTCTCTTCTCCCCAAGTAGCTAGTGATAGGACGAGAGGAAATGGGCTCAAGCTGCGCCAGGGGAGGTTTAGGTTGGATATTAGGAAAAATTTCTTTACGGAAAGGGTAGTCAAGCATTGGAAGGGGCTGCCCAGAGAGGTGGTGGAGTCCCCATCCCTGGAAGTGTTCAAAAAATGGGCAGATGTGGCACTCTGGGACATGGTTCAGTCTAGTCTACCCTTGATTGGTTTAGTGTGGACTTGGTAATGTAGGTTAATGGTTGGACTGGATGATCTTAAAGGTCTTTTCCAACCTAAATGATTCTAGGATTCTATGATTTAAATTAGTAGGTTTTCTTAAAGAATAAGTATTACATTATGTCATTTCCTCCCAGCTAATTTAATTTAGCTGGACATTTGTCCCTTAAGATTTATTACTTAAAAAAAAAAAAGTGAAGTCATCAAAATGTCTATTTCTGGAATGTCTCCCAGTTTTAAAAAAAAAAAAAAAAATCCAAGAACAATATCCTGAGCAGAAAATCTGAGAGCTAGTATGATGATGAATGTGCAGAATAATGCCAGCATTTAAACTTGAGCAAGTTGGCTTTTCTTTATTTTACTTGTCTGGTTATCCGCTATATTAATGTAGTTTTAGGTGTATTCTGACACGTATCATTTGAGTAATGTACCTGCTTAGAGCCCAGAGGCAACAGAGTGGGAAGGAATAGCAAGAGCTTGAGAAGTATCCTCATGAAGATAAGAAGGACAGATCATACTATGGCGTCTCTTGACAAACGTTTCATCTTTCATCCCTCAGAAAGTGTTGTTTTTTGGTTAGATATTGAGTTTTGATATTGAACCAATTCATTAAAACTTGTTGTTATTATTTTAGGCTCATTTAATAATTGTAATTACTTTATGTTTTGTAATTATTTTAGACTCATTTAATAATTGACAACTGTGGGAAATTCTTTGGAATATGTGCAGCTTTGTGTGGGTCTCTTTTTCTGTGGAGGTTTAAGCTGGTAGATGATTGATCTGTTCAATCGTTTAATAGTTAGCTTGTCAATTATATTAATGATTATTCACAATAGCATTCATTGGAAAGAGGGGTTGGTGATGCATTGGGAAAAACTCCACATTGCTCTTGGAAGATATCTGACCTAATCTTTTAACTTTTAATGATCTTCATGCACAGTATCTTTAGCTATAGATACTTTTAAATGCAAGCCTAATATACAGCTGAGTAATATAAGTGGCAATACTATTTTTTTCCAAAAGAATCTACCTACTTTCCTCAGTATGTCATCTTAAGGATGGGAAAATTTTGATGGGTGGTAGTGATTGGAGGCTGGACCTAACTTAGTAGTTTCAAGAGCAGTTTTTATCTGGTGACAGAAACAAGTTTTTACATTTTTCAAACTGAAGTATCTGAAATATGAAAAATAATATTTGCTTGAAATCTCTAATCTTACACAGTGAGGAGCTACACTATCCATGTCCATCTGTTTTGGCATGTGCTAATTAACATTATTCTTAGATAATTTTGTTGTCCCAAACGACTGCAGTAGGAAGTCACTTGTACTTTCAATGCAGAAGGTATTATGTGGGTGTCTTCCAGTTTGTCAGTAGTCACAAAGCTGTTTCAAGTAACGTTGCCAAAACTGCAATTATAAGGATCTAACAGCAGTAATGTAATGCTTATGATTCATGGTCCTGTGCCGTGCATTGCGGTGAATGAGCTGCTTTGTTCAGTGGCAGAGATCATAGCTCAACCTTTCCGCAGAAGGAGGGTATCGCTGCCTGTGGAGTAAAGGGATCCGTCTGCAGCATGCCGACAGCAAAAGCCCTACCTCTCAATGCACCGGTCCACAAGAGCTCCACGTAAATAAATATACATGCTCAAGTGCTGGGTATAGCACTTCTTATCTATTCCACCTTTGCCTGCCAGTTATACATCACTGGCATTTAGAGTAGAGTAGAGTACCATTTAAGCCATACGCGAAGTCTGGGATTGTTCAGTTTAGAAGAGGTTGGAACTGCATGTCTTAAAGGGAGTCTTTTTTCTTTTTCTTCCTTTTTTTTTTTTCCTTGGCCTGGATCTGTGCCAGGTTGTAATGCTAAGACTATCCCTAGTGTTGAAGGTGATGGAGAAGCAGCTCAGGTGGAAAATGACCAGGGTATCCTCTAGCAGTAGAAAATTCTAATTTGCAGCAGAACTACTAAATCTTTGTTCTACAGATGAAATCCCACAGAGATTGTTCTTCCTTTTTATTTAATTATAAAGCACTTGTATTAGACGAATGTGTTGAAATGCTGAAAAACTGGACATATATAAAATAAGCTTCTTTGCAATAATTATAAGACTTCACACTGTTCTGTAAAAAGAAGAAAACATAAAAAATATCTATTTTAGAGCCAAAAAAGGCAAAAATAATGAGCCATGTTACTGGAGTAATGTGACATCTGACTGTAAGAGAGGGATGTTCCTTTAAGGTGTGTAGTGTCTGGGCATCTCACCCAGATCTTGCCAGATAAAGGCGTCTCCTTAGGGCCAACGTAGGCAAACATGTTTAGTCGAAGAGACAAAGTCTGTCTGTTTCCCTTTTATAGAAGCAAAATGGATTAAAGTTCGTATCCAAGACAGAACATGTAGGTGCCATTGGCAGCCTGATTAATCCGAGGAGTCCCTACCTAGTCATCTGAAAAAAACAAAGAGGAGATTTTGCCAGTAAGGTTTCTCAGCTACGTAAAATTGTGCTATAGAGGCCGTTCAGTTGGCTGAGTGTGGTTCAAAATAGATGGGTCATTTATGGTTTCAAAATCATCAGGAGGGGTCAGAGCTGGTAGATGTACTCTGAGACAGCTCTGAGCAGCAGCACTTTGGTTGCAGGGCATGTACCACAATGGTCCTACCTACCTCCACATTGTTTCTTCAGTCTGGAGAAAGCCTGATTGCTCTCGCATCCTCATTCTGCATGGGTGCAGCTCTCTGCCTCTTGGATAATTTCTCAGAGGAAGCTCATGATGAAATGGGGGATGATCTGTGAAGGGGGAGACCTGGAATCCAAACCCACTGACTGTTCTCGTGACTC